ATTTTGTGTTGTTGTCTTGCACTAGTAACTCAAAACGTACAAGCATTACTGCCATTGACAATGTGATTTTCTGAAATGGAAAACAATTCTTTTTCAAGGTCCAAATAAAATAAACTACAAGTGCCTCTCCATTTCTACATAGTTCATTCTTAGGAAATTAATAGTAAAACCCTGAACCAAAGCACTATGTGTTTACATGTAAATAATGTTCAGTTTAGTATCAGATGTTTCTAAACAAGTTTTTCACCCAAATAAATATCCAGTGAAACATCTAAATGTTGAGTTGGACATAGGACAAATTTTCATTATACAGGACTGTCCCAGAATGCATTGCAGGACCAGTCCCTGCCCATTAATAGCCGGTAGGGCCCCTCAATTGTTGTCACAACAAAAATGTACCACCTTCTCCTGCAGTTCCTTGGACGCCCTAGCAGAACTGTCATTCCCTCTTCTGTGTTCACAGGCCGTATCCTTCCATGTACTCCCATGCATTTCCAAAACACCTCGTAGTGGGCAGCACTGCACAAATGAGAATCACATATCTACAGAAAGGGTGCACTACTGTAGACCTCAGAGTGTCTGTGGGAATAAAAGTAATTCCGTCTAAAAGGCTCTGCATTGTGTCTGGCGTATAACAAGTGCTTAGGGAGTGTATATTTACTTCATCCCTCCTTCTCTTTTCTGGCCATAGGTTCTCGGTCTGAATAATAGGGAACATCTGTCATGACAACAGTAAGAAAGTTGCACTAAATATTTCAGGGAGTGAGGTGACTAAGTTAGGCAGCAATAAACACACATCGTCTCACTCCAAGAAAATAATAACATGACAAATACATAGATAATATTAAATGCTGTAATTTGACAAAAGAGACCTACACCTACTTTTCAGTGTAATTCTGTTCCTTCTCTGCTCTGGGGTGAACTTTTAAAACTAAACAGACTCTAGGACAAGCTAGAGAATTATTCCTCAGTAAGGATGGGCCATACAACGGCAGGACACTGCTGCCCCACCTCAAATGATGGGCCATGCCTTCATGCAGCAGCAGGCAGGGCTGAAGGACTCCAGGGTGGTATACATCAGATGCTCACACCAGCTGTTTCTTCTGTCCTGGATGCCTTTTCTCCCTCACTTCCTACTCTTGATTGACCTGGCCATTTCTTCCTCATTTTTCAAGTTTCAAGATGTACTACCTGCTCCAGAAAAGTTTCCTTGGACACACCCACAGAACGGTCACTCCCTCTTCTGTGTGTCCGAAAGGCCATGTACTTCCTTCTACTGTAGTATTTCCAATATTGTGTTTTGTGCTTGGCTGATTCTGCAAGAACTGTGTCTCATTCATCTTTACATCCTTGACAAGTAACGGAGTCCCTCACACACAGTAGGTGCCCAACAAAAGTTCACCTATCTTTCCCCCGCTTAGGATCCTAAAATAAACACACCATAGAGTAATGTCATGAAGACTGTTCACAATGCCACTATCCAGGCTATCTATGGAGGATGCCACTTTTAAAAAGGTATAGTCTGTGGTTCAAAAGAGTTTATTTAAAATAAAGATGACGAGGAAAAGAAGAAAGGAGAACAACACTTCTAACATAAAATACATAGGAAACATCTCAAACTTAAAAAACAAACAACGGCAGTGAAGGAAGCTATGTCTCATACATATACAAACCGCTGACTTCAACCGATTATTTACATCCAAAACTTACAAAATAGCATTTCAAGCCAGCATTTAAGCCAGTGTTATTAGTTTCTGTTACAAAAGGTTAAAGCTACAAACTTCACATTTTTTAATTGTACATCAACAACAGCATTTAAGCTTTTTTTTTTTCCCAAGTTGGTCCAAGTGCAAGCTGGTGGAAGAGATCTTTTTTCCAAACACAAACAAGAACATGTATTCCAAAGACAATGAATATACTCCTGGTGAAAACACAAACATCGTGCTTAAGAGAGGACGAGGTGGGGTAGAGATGTAGATTGGGCAAGAACAATTTTCCAGTAAATAAGGAGCTGTAATCTTTAGAGGCAACATGGTATGCAGAAAGGACACTGGAATAAGAAGAAGACCTGGATTTGAATCCTGGCTCTGTCATATTCTAGCCACATAACCTTGAGCAACAGATTTTACCTCTCTCAGCCTAGTTTCCTTATCTATAAAACGAGGACAATGATATCTATATCTTTCAGCACTAATAAGTTTCTGTAGATATAGTGCTATTCAGATTATCTTATTTCTTCTTGAGTGAACTTTGGTAATTTGTATTTTTCAAGGAATTTGCCCATTTCATTTAAATTATTGAATTAATTAGCACAAAGTTATTCATAATATTATGTTATTGGTTTTGAATCTATCATGATGTACCTTTCTCATTCCTGATAATGAAAAGAGTTACTGAGCTTTAAGTGATATAGTAAATTTCTGTCGTCTGGTAGGTGCTAAATAATTGTTTCCTAGATCAAAATCTATAGTCTCAAGACTACAGTTCTTAAGTTGCTTCAGATGATTGATTTTATCTATCAATAAATCTATCAATGCATTTATCCATCCACCTATCCTCCTACCCTCCCCCCCACCCCATCAAACATTTTTCTATCCAATTGGTAATTGGGGGAAGGGACAAAGAAAAATAGAAATGTCATTCAAAATTACTGATGGGAGAGCAGTTAAGATATTTTCAGAGAGTTCTGAAATGTGTTAAAGACAGAATCAGGTCACCATTTCTTGGAAGCAGAGAATAAAGGAGGGCCTCAGAGTTCCCTGGAAGCTTGAGTTGCAAATACTCAAGCAATAACTGAAGCTCAGGGCTCAATTAAAACAAGCTGATATATCTTGAATCCAGTATGCAACAACAACAAAAAAAGAAACCACTAGGACTTGCTCCTCTGTCTTTCTGTCACTAGAAAACAAATACACCTTATCAGGAAATTATCTGATCCAAAACAAACTGACTACTGGCCAAAAGTCTCTATCTACCTAGACTGGTGAACAATAGCTTACTGGACCAGCAATGGCTGGATGCACACATGCTTAAAACACAATAAACTCTAGATCAAGGTGCATGACCTAAGAATATTTATGAGGAAAAACTGAACTTTCTTTTACTTGGATCTAGCTTAGGAAAGGAGAAAATGGGCTTTCTCCTTCTGTTTGCCCAAGTACAAAGTTTTTTGTTTAAAAAAGAAAGAGACTACAACAGAGCTATTAGTTAGCAGAGCAAATGGTGTTAGGGCATGCATGCTTGATGCTTTGGTTTTCAAAACTTACTTGGCTATCAGACTTGACTGTTAATTCAGCAGCTTTTCCAACCTAAAAATGCCAATTGGAGTTATTTAGTCTGGTGCCAATAAAGGTGGTCACTTCATTTCAAACAGACTGTGACTTTCCTTTTCCCTGTAAATACTGACCCCATATAGTGATGCTAGGAAACCTGCTTCTACCACTTATTAGTTGTATTGTCTTGGGAAGGAATCTTTCTCTCTGAACCTATTTCTTCATCTATGAAATGGAGATGAAGTACTTAATTCACAAGATTATTGTGAAGCTTGAAGCCTCCCTAGCTCAGTGACTTGCATAAAATAGGTGGCCAACAAATGCTAGCTGCCACATAGCTATTTCAGTGGCCAAGCCCTGAAGCCCAACAATTGCCTCTTGCATTTTTTTAAAAAACTTGCTTTAATTGCAAAGAACAGAATCTAGCCACAGAACAGCCTACCTTTCCACTGATTCCCAGGTTCAGGGAGCAAAAATAATTACAGCGTAAAATTACAGCACCTATAGGTACAACCAGTCATGGCTCTGAGGGAAAGAGATATTAGAAGAAAATAAAAATATATCTGTCTCTCCCAACTGTCATACAACCTTGCTGTGTGACTGCATGCCACACAGTCTTGAGTCAAAGTTGCAGAAGGATGGCTCCGTTCTGTCTTTTGCAAAGCCCTCTGATCTGCTTCAGGTCCAAAACCTGCCTCCATGGGTGCTTGTCTACTACATGGTAGATACTGCAGAGCTCTGGACTCACTGACTGAACGATCTGGTTCCTCTGGGGAATCCCTTCATAGCCAGGTCACAAACTGGAGAGGCAAAGCAAGAGCAGGTTTCTGTTGGCAGGGCTCCCTGGGACAACTTAATCAAAACTGACACCAGTCTCTTCTTTCAGAGAAGGGGTTGCTTGATTCAGTGGCCCAGAAGTGAAGACCCTGAGTTCTAGTCCCAGCTTTTACTCTAACTTGCTTTATGATTTTAGTTACGCCACTTCCTCTCTCTAAGCCTCAATTTTCCCAACAATAGGAGGGTCAGATCAGATGATCTCTGTGGTCCTTTCCAGCTCTGGCATTCTGTGTGTCTGGGTTGAGCCTCTTGGAGAACAAAACTTAGTCTAATACTCATTTATCCTTTCCAGGCCCCTTAGCAGTAAAAGAAAAAAGAAAACAGTCACATATTTGAATGTGGATCGCAAAAGCAATGCCCTCTACCCTGTCTGAAGGAATGTGAAACAAAATGCCATGTGTGTGATTTTTATATGAACAATGAGAGCTTAAAAACCCTTTCCTTTTGGGAACTGAGCAAAGTCCTGTGTTTGCCAAGAGTTCCTGGTAGGCCTGTCCACTCAGCGGATCACGTCTCCTCTTAAGGCACTAGGCAGTATCTGTGCTGTGACTTTAGGCAGTTGGGAGAGTGGGGATGGATGAAAGGCATTGAAACAGCAAAGGCCAATTTGTCAAGAGGGCACCAGGCTTCTTCTGGAACTCAAAGAGTAAACATGAGCTCTCAAGCCTCCCTTGGACATCACCAATAGCCCAGGAAGTCAGTGATGACCACACAAGGCTGAAACCACGGTGAAAGAACTGCCCCTAATCTAATTTTTAAATGCTGCCCCAAAAAAGGGTAGGTCAGCTCCTGGGATTCAGTGACCTCCAATAGCCTCTTGGTCGGTGTCCTCTGCCCTCATGTTCCACAGTACCATAATCTTACAGAACGGAGGCAAACTGTTTAAAATTGTACCTGTACAGAGATGTCACCACACTAAGTGGGAAATCTATTTATAATTTATATATATATATATGCATATTTATATATTTTTAAAAACTCTTCCAGAAAGAACAATTGAAAGCTATTGGGAGAAGAAAAACAAAAGGACAATGTAAAACTTTCCCAGCTATTACTCAACCAGAAGTCTCTGATCCTGGGGTTTAAACCTCTGAGTTAAAAGCGCCAATAGAAATGCTTTGAGACAATATACCTGACCAATGTACACACATCATCAAGATGGCACGCTGGCTGCCACGGTAGCCCTTTCCACTGGCGCACATTCCTGAGTTCACAAAGGTGCTGTGGAGAAATGACAAAGCAGAAGAGCTGGCTAACAAACGTGAGGTGAGCCACCCAGAATTCACCAGAGGCCTGGGTGGGGGCAGGGCCCTCTTGGCCTGGCCTTTGTTTAGAAGTTCTGTTGCCGCCTCTTCTTAGCCTCAATAGCATCCAGGATGGGTTGCCGCTTGGACTGGTACTTTTGCCGGATCTCTTCAATCTCCTGCTCCATCATGGGGTCTAGGGCTAAGAGCCTCTTCTGAAGGTCCTCCACTGTCCAACTCTTAAGCTAGAAGAGAAGTGGAAAGTACAAATCATGACATAGCCTAGGTCAGTGGCAGAAAGACAGGAAAGCCCTGTCTGTCCAGGCACCCAAAACGAAGGGAAACAGGAGGAGGATACTGTGGTCAGGCCACATGTGGAGTGGTGGCCTTCCAATGAATGGCACACATTAAAGTTTTTCTACACCTCTTATCAACAAGGGTGCCTGAACAAAGCATATTTGTATACCTAACCCTTAACTGTACCCCACAATATCATAATAAAAAATGTTGATTATAAAAAAAAAAAAAAAAAAAATTAACCGAGTGTGTTGGCATGCACCTGTAGACTCAGCTACTTGGGAGACTGAGATAAAAGAATTGCCTGAGGCCAGGAAGTTGAGGCTGCCAAAAAAAAAAAAGTTTTTCTAAGACATTTTATCCCTGGAAGAGTTCTAAGCACCAACTCTTTGATTTACTGAGCCCATATGTAAAATAATGGTTGCTTCCAGTTCTTGTCATCCATAGATGAGCATCTAGACAGTGCCCATCTCTCTTTTAGGACACTACCCAATAGAGGACAAATGCTGACTGGGGAGCAGATGCTCTGCCCAACCCCTGCCTTCCCAAGCTCCCAATGTCTTGGCACTGACATACTAATCATCACTAACATTTACTGGGGGCTAATGAGATGCCAGGCAGCACTCCATGCCTCTTGGGAATATAGACACACCCCTGGCAGGGGTGCGGGTTGAAGGTAGGTAGTTGGAGAAACTCTGAAACTTCTGAGGTTATGTTTTCATCATCCAGAAAAAATAAAGGACCTGATATATAAATAAATAATAATGACTAGCATGTATGTTGTCCTTTCTATGCACCAGGCACTAAGCACTTCACATACACAAATTCATTTAATCCTCATAACAACCCTATGATATGAGTACATTATCTCCAAGTTACAGATGAACAGAACAAGGAAAAAAGTGACTAACTGCCCAATGTTCCTCAGCCAGTAAGTGGCAGTCAAAACTCAAACCCAGGCAGTATGGTTCTGGTATCCAAGCTCTTAATAGTATTGCAGAAGAGCAGACTAGCAAAGCACAGGTTTTAGAACCAACTCTACCTGTGTTTAAAACATAGCTCAGCCTATTACAAATGCCACGAGGCTCTGGCAAGTTATCAACCTCTCCAGGCCTTCCTCATCTACAGAAGTGGGACAGCAGTGCCTCATCAGACATACTATAAGAATTACACAGCCGGGCTTGGTGGCTCAGCCTATAATCCCATGCCTTTGGGAGGCTGAGGTGAGTGGATTGCCTGAGCCCGTGGGTTTGAGACCCGCCTAGGCAGCGAGACCTCATCTCTACAATAAATCAAAAAATCAGCCGGGCGTGGTAGCGCATGCCTGTAACTCTGGCTACTTGGAAGGCTGAGGCGGAAAGATCGCCAGAGCCCAGCAGGTCAAGGCTGCGGTGGCCGGGAGCGGCCACTGCACTCCAGTCTGGGCGACAGAGTGAGACTCCAACTCAAAAAAAAAAAGAATTACACGAGATCATGGCTGAAGATTCTCAGCACAGCATCTGGTGCACCATATGCAGAAAGATGGCAGTTGGTGTTATAAGTCTCTCTTCACTTAAGACCAAGAATACACCCATATTTCAACCTGTGCTTGCAGCTGTGGTGCAAGTGACTCCACTGCTGAATGTGTGGAATGTTCATTGATCCCAAGCAAGGCCAGTCTTGGCTGGCATGGGTGGGAATGAATGCTGACATTATCCACAGCAGGCGGTGACACTTTATCCTGTGTTCTTGCAACCAGTTTAATAGGTACAGTGTTTCAAGAACTCAAAGGCTTACCCAAGTCTTACAAGAGGTCTGTTGTGCCCATATTTAGAAAATCATCACCTTTAGCCTCTTCCTGAGGCCTCAACAGGAAAGTGATCTAGAAGGTGGTGAAGGAGTCTCTTTCTAACTCCCTTCCTTTAGAGGGCAGGGGGTGAGTGAGTGTGATGTGCTACATTGGCCCCCCCAGAAATGGTTTAGTGGCCTGTCACCACAAAAATTTTCCTTGGCCTGCTTCAAGGAGGTTGTCTGAGACGTGAGAGAAGCCTAACAGTTCAAGATGAAAGGTTCTTTGTAATGTGAGAATAGAAAGACTTCAGAGTGCGGGGAAATACTGGAAAGCTGGGCTGAAAAAAATGCACCTTTCTTTCCAGGCTGTGGTTTTATACCACCTTAGACGTTGGTGTTCTTGGACCAAGGACACCCCAAAGAGTGACGCTTACCTAATCTTTAGTGTTTTCAATTCCTTCTCCAAAGAAAGAATTCCTCAAACCTAATACTGAGTGTTATTGGTAGTTAAGAACATAATCTTTAGGATCACAGATCCTAACTCTGTGCTGGCTATGTAATCTTAAACAAGTAATTTCACCTCTTGAGCCTTGGTTTCCTCCTCTGGAAAATCAACAATACTAGTTCTTCCACTCTTAGGCTATAATGAGACTTAGATGAGATAATAAGTGTGATGTTCTTACCTCAGAACTTCACATAGTATGTGTAGGGCAGATGGCTACAGGAACTACAACTGTTCCTGTAACCTCTTGATATAGAAACCCACTATTGTCTGTCTATATTGCCATAACCCTTAAAGAAACGCATAATATTTAAGCGGGTCTGAGCATTCCTACATTCCTGAGAATCAGCAAAACAAAGCATATTTCCTTATGTCCTATACATTCCCCATTATGTCACTTCAAGAAACCCTACACCCCCTGCAGACTGCGCTCACTCAACTGAGAGAAATGAACCCCTATTCACTCCCTTTTATCAATGGTCATCCATAACACCCTGATTCAAGCTAGAACCTAACAAGTGAGAAAGAAAATATGCTCCTCTATGTGATGCTAGCAATACCTAAGCACTGGTACCTTCCCACAATGTCCATTGACTTATTCATAGTTTAACAAAATATTTTCATCCATCCATCTGCCAAATATTCATCGAACACCTACTATGGGTCAAGCACTGTTTGAAGCTCACCAGATACTTCAATGAAAAAATAAACAAAAAGAATAAACAGTAAATTATTCTTATATTAGAACAGGCTTTGAAAACAAAGAAAAACTAGAATGAAGGAAGAGGCGCTGGGAATTGGCAGGACAGACTTGCTTTCCACCCAGCCACTAGGATGAAGAGTAAACTGCAATGTGAAGACATGTAAGTTAGTCGAACTGTACCAACTTTCCAACTTGTTCTGCAACTTTGGACAAGCCTCTTCTCCTCAGACCTTAATTTCCCCATATGTAAGAGAGAGCTGACTAGATCTTCTCAGAGGTCTTTCCAGAGTCAATGTTTCTCAGTGCATGATCTATGGATAACCTATATAGGAATCACTGGTTAAGAATACAGATTCCTGGGCCCTAACACAAAGCTACTTAATTGACTCCCTGGGCAGTGAGGCACAGGACTTTGTATTTTAAAGAAGTTATTCAGTGGGTGGCTGGGACAGGAGAATCACTTGAGCCCAGGAGTTCAAGACCAACCTGGAAGATAGAGTGAGACCCAGTCTGTTAAATAGGAAACAAGAAAAAGCAGTAGCTACTCAAGTATTTCTTATAAACTCTCAAGTTCGATAAGCATGTAGGCATAATTCTATATCTTCCCTGTTTCCTGTTAGTAAAAATCTCACAAAGTAAATTGCTGCCTGTTTCTGGTCCAAAGCTTCTTCAAGATTTCCAGTTTCTAGGCAGCTTTATTGCCCTTGATTCTAACCTGGCGGAACAAGCACTCTTGCTTTATCTCAGTCACCTTCAGACTAATTCACCCTTGCCTTTAGGGCTTAAGTTACACCTGACCTATTGGAACACAGCCAGTCAGCCACTGCTGATGACTCGGTCACACCATCCAGATATAGATTTCTCTGAAAAACAAGCTCAGAAAATAGTTTCATGGCACCAGGTTTAGCATTTCACCTTCTGGGTCCTTGGTGGCATACATAAATTTCAAATGGAGATCCTGCAGTAAAATAACTGTGGTTCCACAGTTTTGCAACAGCCAGCCTCCTGAAGGAGCAAATTCTCAAACCAGTCATATAAGTTAGCTTGAGCTCTTTTCACTTTCTTTGGGAAATATCATCATTTAGTAGCTCGTCTATCCCTTAGAATTTAAACATCCTCTCTATACTGTGACTCCCACATTTATATCTCTAGCCCAGAATTCTCTGAACTCCAGAGTCACATATCCAGATCAGATCCTACTGGATATCTCAGTCCCTAATTATCTTGTGGAAATCTGCAACTTAACATCCAAAGCAAAACTAATGAGTATCATTTCTCCCTCATTCCCAAACCTCTTTTCCTTACTTGCTCATCTCAATAATGGCACCAGCACCCTCCCATGTGCTCAAAATCATTCCCAATCCTTCCCTTTCCCTCTCACCCCACTCCCTCCTGTCAACATCCAATCCTTCAGCAGTCCTATCAATCCTGTCTCTAAAATACTGGTTTAACTCAAATACAACCACTTTTTTCCACTTCCATCCACCTCAGTCCAACATCATCTCAAAACAACAAACATAATTAAAAACACAGAAATGAACACGATTACATCACCCTTATGTTTCCTACTGTACTCAGAATAAAAGCCAACTCACTAGGGGCTACAAGGGCCCCACATGACTGGCCCCCACCTCCCCTCCAACGTCATGACTTATCACTCTCCCCTTTGCTCAGGACCCTCCACCTGCACTTTATTTCGGGTTCTCAAACAGGCCACACTTTTTTAGGTATCAGTGGCTTAAGGAGTTAAGGATCCTTTTCCCTGCATGGCTCTTCCTTATCCTTTAGGTTTTAGCTCAGATGGCAGTTTCTCAGAGAATGCAAGCAAGCCTTTTCTGACCATGTTATTATCATCTAGAAATTATCTCAGTTACTCTCTATCTCAGCTCCTTGTTTATTTCCTCCAAAACAATCATGCACTTTGTAATTTATTTATTTATTTTTACTTGTTTCTCTTACTAGGATGTAAATTC